TCATTATTTGCTACACCATAATCAATACCTCTGTATATTTCAAGGGAAATCTAGTTAAATACAAAATATCTACACAACTAAAATAATATATAGTGCTGCATAAAATCTTATAATATCCATTCCTCTTCAATTAGCTACCCTGGTGAATACCGACAAGCATAAGCCTCCATAAATTTAGTCAATGAGCAGAAATAACTAATTCACCATCCTTTTTCCATAACACTTGTGTACGGCCACACTCCTCCAACCTGCAATTCTGAACTAGAACCCTAAACCCCATTTCACCCGTTCAACGCTCCAAACCAAAACCTAAGAAACGAAAAACTCCAAAAACAGAAACGCAATTCGCGAACAAAAGAAGCATTGCCGTACACGCATACAACATGTAGAATCATTTAGACTTTTAAAGTAGATACCTTGCTAGGGAGACGAAGAGCTTGAAGAGCTGATAGGAATCGCCCTGGCATCCCCCCTGAGGCTGCATTAAAGATGTCAAAAGCCGCGCCAGGTTCACTAGACGTGTGGAGTTCTGCTGCAACACCGTCTGTTGTCCTTGTCCCACCCCAAATCCCGCCGGCGAGGCCGCTGGCTGGGGAATGGCCGTCATCTCGTTCAAAAATATATATATTTAATTTAATTTATTTTCACAGTTTTATACACTTACTTCAAATGCTCAAAAACGATTATCTTCACGGGGATTTATTTGGTATTTGCCTTTTAATGGTTGGGAAATTGAGCGTTGTTTGAAGTCTTAATTACGGGAAATACCAAGGTGGTTCGGTTGTAATTTTTGAGAAAAGCTTGTCAAGTTTGTTAAGAGAATAGGAGTGCTGTCCAGAGATAGAAGCCCAATCTACCTGGCTTTAGGCCCACCACTTTGAAGCCCCCACAAATATGTTTTTTTAGGTACATCTAGTTACAGGTTATGCGACAAATCGGTCCTCTTCTTCACAAATCTCTCTCTCTCTCTCAAAATTTTGAACTAAAGTCCTTTAAGTATGGATTTAGGTTCTTGTTCATTGAAACATCTAAAATATGGCCTTCACATTTCATTTCTCAACATAAGCATTCCTTCCAAGAAAAGGAATTGCACTTCAAATCTTAAACTCTAAACACACGAGATAAAAGCTTGCACCTTTTTCCCTGTAAAAACTGCTAATACCCATACCTGTTTTCATAGGAGTTGACTGTCTGATTAGAAAGAAAAGGAAGATGAATATGCATAGCTCTGAAAATAAAAATTGGGAACCTACGCCACTTACGATTCAACAATTGAGGTCACAATTCAATTTTACATGTTTAAAGAAGAAACAACAAATATGACCTACGAGTTACAATTCATAACTTAATGCCTCAGCTCTTCTGGCATTGTTGTTCGTTGGAAGTAATTTTTACTTTAAACTTCTTTTGTTTGAAAAGCCTATCACTGTGCTGAAGCTATGGCAGGCGGCGTAAATTGATTCGACTCTGGACAGCTTGGAAATGAAATGGAGAACAGAGCAACCCCATGTGCGCTTTAGATCTTATCATTCACACCTTTGGAGACTGATTAACCCCTCCCACCCTGAAAGAGAAGTTAAAACTTAAAAGGTCAAACTGATTGAACTCTTCTCAAGTATTCACATGTTCCCATCCAATGATTTAGTAGCAGCTTATCAGACAGGTCAGCCAGGTCCAGAAAAGTAAACTTATTAACTCGAGGAAACTAATGTTTCTTACCTTGTGAGGTGGAGTCCCTAGTCTCAACATATTGTTGCCAAATCCAGCTGTTCCTGTCTTCTCTGAAGACTTGAGTATTTGAAAGGAACATATCAAAGTATCATCAACACTCAGCAT